AATAAAATGCAAAAAAAAAAAAAAAATAGGATCACCCACAACGTTTATGTGATGAGTGAGGCCAGAGAGCTGTACACAGAAACACAGCGGGGTGTACCGCACATTAAAATATAGAAAAAAAAAAGTCTGGCTGTAGACTATGTTGATCCTTAAATTTTTTAATTCACCTCCAGCATTTCAAACGCACAAGACATCATCACACAAGAAGGTAGACTTAAGAACAAGGGTGTTGCTTCGGCCCTAGAGCAGCAGGCAGTTCCACTTCCTCTCCTTCTCTTCCTCTTCTATTCTTCCATCACCTCACATCTAGCCTTCACATCCCGCAGTCCTCCTTCTGGTGGCACAGTCAAGTGACGCAGCTGACCGGGGATTTCCTGGACAGGTCACGCTAAAGAAACAGCTACAACTTCCCTGTTGTTGTATCTCATTATAGTTAGAGCCGTTTGTATTTTTACTTTGCATTTCCTCTTCTATGTTTTACTCTCTGTCTCTTCTTCTTTCTAAGCCCATCCAGACGATATCTACAGATCATGAAGCGTGGAGGCTCATTTGGGAGGGAGTTTGATTGGCTGCTTGTAGAATGCGGCAAAAAGGACTTTCCAAATAAGACTTTGATTATTAGTTATATTATTATTAGTGATAAACTGGGCAGCACTGTTGCCTTAAAGCAAGGTCCTGAGTTCAATTCCACCATCAGGCTGGCGTCTTTCTGTGTTGAGTTTGCATGTTCTTCCCGTGTTTGCGTGGGTTCTCCGGGTACTCTGGCTTCCTCCCAGAGTCTAAAGACATGCAGTTAGTGGGAATAGATTAATTGGAAACTCTAAATTGGTTGTCTGTGTCTATGTGTTAGACAAACTGGCGACTCATCCAGGGTGTGCCCTGCATTTTGCCCTAAGACAACTGGGATTGGCTCTAAAAGGATAAGCGGAAGAGGATGGATGGATGGTAATAAACTGGATTTTGTGATTCTAAATGAAACCTGGCTTGATAATACTGCTAACACAGAGCTGGCTGAAACATCGCCCAGTAATTACAGCTTTGAACCTTTACACCACACATTAGAGGCGATCTGGTCGCTGTTATATATAAAAACATTTTTAGTTGTAAATCTCTGTCAGTTATCTAAGTTTTGAATATTTATTTTTAGTAAATAATTCGGTATCTCCGGCTGGATTACTCCTTAATAAATGCCATAAATGAAATTATAATTTTCTTTATGCATTATTCTTTATTTTAATTCATTTCATATTCACACTGACATCAGCAGCAACTCTGATTCAAAATATTTCATCAGTTTATTTTAATGTTAATGTTTAACAACATGCGACTCCACCCACTCATACTAAAGGTCACATGTTTGATCTAATTGGTTCCAGAGGTCTTGACATCACAGTGACAAATGTTCTGGCTGTTACTGTCTCAGGTCGTTATTGCATATTTCCAGAAGTGTTTTGGTTGTCTGTCAAAACTAACACCAACTGATTTATCAACAGCCGTTACATCAGTGCAAGTGCATTTAGTAGTGAATTTTCAAAATGCACATTACTGGTACTGTTGTCATGTGATGACATTTCTCAGTTTATCGATCATATCGCACCTGTCAGAACTGTTAATGTATGCAGTCTACAGTGAGAATGTAAATATGGCAAAAAGAGTCTTTGAAATCAATAAAAACACACTTTGTTACTGCAACAATGGAATAAAATTAGGCAGGCAATCCTATATCTCCAAACTGACTAACAATACTCAGGGTAATTCCACTTCTTTTATTCCCAGCCATTGATAAACTACCCAATGCTTCCAAAACCATTCCCTCTGAATTTCTTTCATTAAAAGTAATATCTTTGATTAATTTATCTAGCATTGCCTCACATTCTTACCAAACTACTGCCATGAGGTCAATGTCCAGATAAAATCCTGAAGAAGTCATTTATCAGTTAAAATCCTGAGTTCAATTCTGTATTTTGTAAACGATGACATTAACTGCTGTATGTCTACAAACTTTTTAGAGCCAAACAGAGATGAGCCAGAAATACTTGTTGTTGGTCCACAAAGTCTAGAGAGTCTAGAGCACAGGTATTGAACTCCAGGCCTTGAGTGCCAGTGTCCTGCAGGTTTTAGATGTGTCCTTGATCCAACACAGCTGATTTAAATGGCTTAATGACCCCCTCAACATGTCATGAAGTTCTCCAGAGGCCTAGTAATGAACTAATCATTTGATTCAGGTATGTTGACCCAAGGTGAGATCTAAAACCTGCAGGACACCGGCCCTCGAGGCCTTGAGTTCGACACCCCTGGTCTAGAGCAAGGCAGGAACCTCAGAACTCTTGTGGACCGTGGTCTCAATTGATAACTGATAATCATACCAATAAGGTCACCAGGACTCCTTTCTACCATAAAAAAAACTAAAAGTTAGAAAATTCATATTAAGGTTAGACTACTGTAATGCTCTATTTGAAGGGTTATCCAAAGCATCAGAAAGAGGACTTGATAATACAAAAGACGGTGAAGATCCTTACAAGTACACAGACACTGTCTACAAGTTCAATACAAAATTACCTTTAAAATCCTCCTACTAGTTCATAAAGCTCTCAATGGCTTGGCCTCTCAATACATCTCTGACTTGTTCAGTGTGTATAACCCAATCAGACGTCTCGGGCTATAAGGTTCAGATCTTTTAACTGTCCCCAGAATTAGATCTAAGTGTGCTAAGGGTGCTTTCAGTTACTGCGCTCCTGATCTCTGATCCAAGCTGTCTGCTGACCTGAGGTCAATCAAATCTGTCTGCATTCAAAAACAGACCCAAAACCGTTTTGTTCTTGCAGGCCTGCAGTTAATAACTCTGTGTGTGTGTGTGTGTGGTTGTGTGTATTGTAGGTTTAGTTTTTTAATGTTTACATCGTTTATGTAATGCACATGATGTTTACTTGTAATGAAATGTGTTGTGTAAAATAAGATGCCAGTTGGCTGACAGGCAGTTTTATGGGCTGAGGAGGCATGTTATTGGTTATTCTATGACAAACTAAGCAGCTAAAAATATCTTGAGTTGATTCCAAGTATTGAATATGCATTTGGTAGATTTTCATTTGAACTCCCAATGTGAGATTCAAAGAAAGAAATGTCAATGCAAGTAAAGGAGGCCACTCCTTCTCCACTTGCATAGTGCTCTCAGAGTGACAATAAAAACGTTAGACAACTAACATAGATGATGACAGAATTATTTCCATGGTTACAAAAAACAACTTCACACCATCCAACCAAGCCATTAACACTTTCAGGAAGGTAGCAGTAACTTTGTCAAGGTCTACAATCAAGAGATGCCTTCATGACCATATGTCATGTCTTTCCTATGTATGTATGTGTAGCGTTTGACCCGATAAACATACGCTGGGGCGATTATTTTGACAGCAAAGCTTTTTATTTAGTGATGTGGGTTTATTCACAGCCACTCCCGCTCTCTGCAGCTGTCACGTCCGCTCTCTCTCCGACTGTCACTGTCAACATAAAAAGACACACAATCAATGTCGGAACCCAGCACACCTGTCGACCCCGCCCCTGCGCCGCCCCGGGAGCTCACTGTGTCACCCCTCCTCTGCAGCTGGCCAGAGACCACACCCACGCCACAGTATGGTTGGGGGGGGGGAGTGTACAACAAAGTGCAAACCACTAATTACACTTGAGACCACGAAGGCCAGATTAGCCAGAAAATATTTTAAAGGGCCTGGACGGTTTAAAAAAACATCTTGGACGCATGAAACCAAGATTTACTTACTGAGAAAAGTCATGATTAAAAGTATTTGTATGGTGGAGCCGGGTCATTATTGTTTACTGATGATGTGACCGCTAATAGAAATAGCAGGATGATCTGTGAAGTGTGCAGGGCTACACTGTCTGCTCATATTCGTCCAAACGCTGCAAAATGAATTAGACAGAGCTTTGCAGTGCAAATGGATAATAACCCAAAGCAAACTGCAAAAGCAACCCAAGAGTTTCTCAAGGCAAAGAAGTGATCTTTATTACTAATTAATTACAAAATCGTCCTGAATAGGCAAATCAAGCTGAGATCTCCACAGCCACTGATTCCCAATGTTTTATTTCCTACAGTGTAGCCCAAAGCATACGGTGTATACAGGGCTTCTGATCCACCACATACGAATCTGAGCAAACCCCTAGAACGGGCCTCCAGAATTAAAAAGCTATTGCTTTTAACCGTCCACTATTTCTAGCATCAATCCAGAGAAGTTGCTGGAACAATGAATTTAACTCAGTATGTGACATAAATTGAGACAGATGAAGCTGGCAGCCCGCTGCTGCTGTCAGTCCATAGATGATAAATACCTACGATATGATGTAAAACCTCATAGCTGGTTTTATCATCCATGCTATAATCTTTTTTTTTCTTTAATAATAAATCTTGAAAAGGTTCACTCAGCTGCCCAGTTATCATTTTTGGCACAGATGTTGCATCAGACACACCTTCACTGTCTCGCAGATGCTTTGGAAATCTCAACCAAAGCTACTCAAGAATTGAAATGTAGCACACGGTGTATGTGTACGGTCAGTAGGATGAAAGGAAGAGGGTGTCGATGCGGTAATCTCTCAGCTTGTTCTGTGGCATAGTGCGATCACTCTTTTTTTTCATGTTTTGAAATGCCTGACTTGACTGGACCATCCGGAAGTTTTCAGCATTCACAGATGTTAAATATAGGAACGGCAAACGTGAGCTCACCTTTCACTTCAAAGGTGTGAAACTAAAGCTGAATTCGCACGATGACAGAAGTGCAACGACAAACCACACGGAACATAATGGAAAAAGCTGAAGCACACACACACTCCACAGAAGCCGCACTGAGTGTGTAAGACAAATATATACACAGGAAGTGCCTCCCACTCCTTTGCCCCTAGTCACTTGCTCTCTCTCTCTCTCTCTCTTTCTCTCTCTCTCTCTCTCTGAATGTTTCTGATGGCAGTGTGTTGCTGAGCAGCAGCCAGTCGTGTTTTTCCCCTCGCTGAGCTCACTCTCTCTCTCATCCTCTGCTCCGGCTCTCAAACGCTCTGTTGCTCAGTGAACAGACCAGACCTCTCCTCTCCACTTCTTCTCTTCTGCTACCCCTTAAGTCTGCTCTATCCTCTTCTTTTATCTGTTTCTTCATCACATTTCTTCTTCATCCCCGTCTGTCCCCCTGCCCACTACCACTACCACCTGGGTGCCAGGGGCATTAGTGGGGGTCCCGGTCTTTTTGACTGTGTGTGTGTGTGTGTGTGTGCGTGTGCGTGTGTGTTTATGTGAGAGCGTGCCGGTACTGTTTTCAGCATGGAAGCGGTGGCATTGTACACGTTTCGTGCCACAGAGGGTGATGAGCTCAGTTTCAACAAGGGAGACTTGCTCAAGGTAAGAAAAAGAATTTTTCATCTTTGTCTGTCTGAAGAGTAAAACTGGCACAGCACCTCTGTCTTCTCTCTCGCTCCGTCTGCCTACTGTGATAATTACAGCAATTAAAACTTTACTGTCAGAAGCCATTGAAATTATATTTCAAGTGCTGCGGGTGCTTCCTAAAGAAAGAATAGTATAAAGAAAGATAAAGTATTAGAAGTGGCTTAAACCTGTTTTGGATGATAGCACTCACCTGTATGTGTGGTAATGTGCTAGACTGAGTTAGCTTAGCTTACCATAAAGGCAGGAAACAGTTTGAAGTAGCTAGCCTGGTTCTTAAAAAGAGCAAAAAGTTACTTATTTTTTATATTTAATTTGCTAATCTTTACACAAAAGTGTCAAAACAACCATGTAGAGTATGCTAGAGGACTTTTTTGGCTTGAACCAGTGGTTTCCTGGAGCGTCTGCTGACTACAGGGCAAATAGTCCTTAGCTTGTAGAAGTGCCAAATCTGTACTTCCTCAGTGGCCACCAATAAAGTCACTCCCTATCGTGTTTAATATTGAAAAGGCTTACTTAACAGCAGAAAAACTCAAGATAAAACATTTTTTATGTCTATGAAGCTAAACACATTTTTGATAACTGTGCAAATTTTCCTTAAAGACTAAAGAAAGTGGTTTGGCCACTTTGAGAGCTGGACACTAAAATGCTGTAGCATGTATAAAGTTACAGAGCTAGACCTCACAACAGTGTTCTTTCTGCTGTTAGCTAATTATACGGACTATTTATTGTACAAACAGCCCATTTAAGAAGTTTGTGTTTCAGTTTTGTGAGTGAAATATAGATTTTTAGTTATATTTTTATTAGTAAAAAGGCACCTATGCTATCTGTGTACTGTACAGTCATGTTTGCTAACATTAGCTCAGAACTTAGCACTCCACTGTCTCAACAAATGATAGTTTTTGCAAAAAAAGGAACATGGCAACAGACAAAATGCTTTAAAATGTAGCTTTACAAACTAATGAGTGGTAGCACAGGTGGCTGTGTAGTCTAAATCTTCACATTTTAAAATGGGAAGATTTAGACTACACAGCCAACTACAACTTTCACATGGCTAACAGGTTCCCGCTATTTTAAACCTTTTTTTCCAAGCTAAGCTAACGTCACAGGCTACAACTTAATATTTACAGTATAAAATGGGAATGCTGAATCTTCTTATCATTTTACATAAAGTAAATAGGCATATTCAATTCTACTCCTCTAATTTAATTTTGCTCTCGGTTGCCTAACAATCTTTTTTTTTATCTGCAGCTTTTTATTTGTGTCAAACACCATGCTGAAATAGCTCCGGCACAGCTGGAAATTAGTGTAGTAGAAAATCGTCCCTCTAAGACATCAACAGCAAACCTCAGAATTAAAGAGCCAAGTGCTTCTTTCTAACACTGGTGCTTTGGCACCATCTGTTTGACACTCAGACGCAGGCAAATCAGGCAAGATGGAAGACACAGTGAGATCAATTTGTCTTCTGGATTTTGTCTCAGTTAACCAGTGGGTGTCGGTGCTGCAGGTCCAACTTCTCTTACTAGTTAAATCCTTAATTTTTTCCTTTCACTGGAATATTTCTCTGCTAATTTGAGGCTTTTCTTTGAGGGTGAATTTACCTTTTGTTGCTTGAAGATAGTTGGTGTACTATTCTTCCCATACTGACTTCATTCCAGCACTAAACATGAATAAAAAGGCCTCTTATTCCTGCTGTCTTTAAAGTCATTTGTTAGAAGTCGAGTGTCACAGCATGTTGCAGCTAAGATGCAATGGCATTTAGTTCCGACACTATGACAGATAGTTACAGCAGTCTTTGATGCGTACTCGTGTTGTCTGGCCACAGTGATGAATTTACAGTAGCTAGAACAGCACCATCACTTAAACCACTGTTGAGTTTGTTTCTTTACTCGTGCAGGGCTAAGCGACTGTCTTGTCTTTGCCAAAAAGCTTTGGTTCACACTCGGGTCAAGCAGTACTTTTAAATAATTCTCCACATTTGTTCGTTTCTGCATGATGCGCCAGATGGCCTGAGCTTTACAACATCAAGACAATTTGTGCGGAAAAAGAAAAAAGAAACTCTATAATTTAGTTACAAAAATACCAAAGAGATAGTTGCTTTCCCCACAGCTGCTCACTGGTCCTCATTTATTGCCCTTATGCTGCTTTAAAGCCTACTTCTGCTTCTTTTCACACCTTGTTGCCAATGCGAACGCATTGTGCGTTTTCCATGTGGAACTGGATCGATTGAGCTGAGCAGAGTGTTGACTCATAAAGAAGTTATAAAAATAGCTTCATAGAAAAATTTGTAAAAAAAAAAGAAGTGGCTCTGGCATTATGTGTAAAGCTGGGAGACCGTGCTGCCAAGTTTAACACGAGGGACACAAAAGCCGAGCTTTAGTTCTCCAGATACCGTCACAAAAAATGTAACAACTCTGGCTGGAACTGAAAACCTCCAAAGCACCCAGAGAGTACGCACTACATTCTAATCACAAAATGAAATAACTTCATTTCTTTAGAAAATAGTTAACTATCCTTGGAAATAAAAATATTGCTGTATTTATTTGCTTCATTTCTCCAACAGTTTCGTGTGTCTGACCACAGCAGTCAGGTGCTGTCAACCATACCTGACCTGTTTTTAAGCCTCATTAAGAGCTTTGTGTGCGGTCTTTTCAGTCTACTGCCATGTCAGATGTTCACGTTGTCGGATTTTGTTTGTTTAATGCTCTTTTGTTAAGGGTTAATTATGTAATGAGTAAACTCTCTGGAGTGGTCTGGAAGGAGCTGTTAGTCACAGCTGAATTAACAGGGTCTAGCTAGATAATCAGCTATTATTGGTTATATATGGTCTCTCTCTACATATATATATATATGATAAACACTGTACATCAGCGGCCCCCAACCTTTTTTGCGCCACGGACCAGTTTAATGTCAGACAATATTTTCACGGACCGGCCTTTAAGGTGTCGCGGATAAATACAACAAAATAAAATGATACAGACAAAGACAAAAACTGTGGTATTTTGTAAATATAATAATAAACGCAAATTCACTGTGTAATTGTATAACTTTATTAGCAGCGTCCTCCTGAAATGCGCCAACAACATTGAGAGTAACATCCTCCTCTCTGCCCCTTAATCCTCTCCGATTGCTATGGTAACACGTAAATATTTCTTTCAAAATAAGACACACAACTACAACACGGAAAAAGACAGAGTTAAAGATAAAAACCCTGAAAACCATAAATTTCACACCCGAGCCTAATCTCTTGCTGCTCTGTACCAAACGACCCCCCCGGGCGATGGACCCCCGCATGCCCCCCCCCGGGTACGGGCCATGGTACCGGTCCATGGCCCGGGGGTTGGAAACCGCTGCTGTACACGGTCAACATTCAGTACAATTGTTTACTTACTTAGTAGCTACTAGTGGTGAGTGATAATGCAAATTTTGGTATGCATGTGATACCAAGTAAAAACAGGGCCAGAGTTACTAATACTAATACTGATACTTTTGATTAGTAAAGTCAGCCTTTATGACTTATGAGCTGAACCAAATAACTTACTTTTACTTCCCACAGTCATTAGTTAACCCAACAAAGCACACATTGCAGCATTTCATGTAATTTGATAGTGGGGTTGTTTGGAGACCTGGGATGTAGATACGCTCGTCTTTTTGTGTCAGCTTCTGTTTAAATGTGCTACAGGCTATAAATATTTTCATAGTGCGTGTTTGAGGTGTGTATTTTCCTTTCCAAAACACAACAACAACAACAATATGGGCTGCATGTTGAACTTTACTATATTAATACTGTTGATATTTGTATTGATGCGCTAGTACTTACTGGCATTGTTGCATTATTAATAAAATTAAAGTAGCGATCTATGAAATAGAAATAAGGAAAAGTTCTTAAACTGCCAGTGTTACCTCTTAAGAGGCTTTATGAACACAATACATATGACAAAAAAAAGATTTGGTTTCTCCACAGAACTCCTGTAGTTACTCGTTATTATGATGTACAAGCAGGGAAAGTTAAATTAACAGGTGAAGCTGTACAGGAAGTGGAAACTTTTTGATTGAAATTGTGGTGGGGGGGGGAAGTTAGTCTCTGAGTCAGACTGATGCAGAAATGGCTCACTGGGTTTCATGAGAGACAGTCCAGCGTGTTGTTTTAAACTGTGGGAAATATAGGAAGAGGTTGTTTAGGAGGGACACCGAAACCTCCAGCCTCTTGAAAGGGCAAGCTTTCAGCTCGATGAATGACTGACGCTATGAGCAGTAAATCATTTCATAGCCTGCGACGCATTTTAAAAATGCACGTACAAATGTGCACTGTAGCCATTACAAGCAGCTGATGCATGAAATGAAGTTTCTAAAGGCAGAGAGGGGACAGGGCAACTTTTTTTTATTTATCTATTTTCTGGCAGATGGGCATTACTGCCCAAGGTGTTCTTCATCACAGTGGCCTTCAAGTCCTTGCTGGCAGGATGTCGCGTGAAATTTGAGGTGAGGGAGGATGTTTTAACTACAGTACATGACACGCGGTACTTTGCTGGGTACAGCCGCTGATCAAACACAGAGGCAACGTGACGAAAGCCCAAAAAGTGATAAACCCAAGCTGTAAGGGAGATAAGGAAGAAATGTGGCAGTGCGAGGCAGGCAGAGCAAAATAAAAATCATCTTAAAATATCAAAATGACAAACTATGTCACAGCTGGGTTAGGAGACTGAATGTAAAAAAGATTTTGAAGAAGAGCATGAACAGAGATGAAGCAATGAAAGGGGACGGGATAAAACAGATAAGGTTTAAAGCAGGAACATATCAGGAGTCAAAATAACAGACTGTCCTTTATTACCATCATCATGATGGAGCCCTGGCCCTGTTTATTACCTACTGTAGCCAGCAGAAATAAGACATGTTTGCAAGAGTTTTTAAATGACTATCATTAATATCATTTGTGCTTGAATTTCTTTTCATTTTACTTTGCACACCCCACTGTCAGATTACACGTCCTGCAAATGCTAATGAAGGTAGCTAATGTGAACTTGATAGCAGGCTCTTGTGTGACATTTCAGACTTTCTTAAGGCAAGCGACTAACTATAGTAACTATAGTCTTTAAAAAGTCAACTGAAATATTTTCAGTTATCGCTTATTTATCAAGCGATAAATAAACAAGGGTTCAATTTATTTTATTTATGTAATTAATTTGTTTTTACTTACACCAAAGCAGTGTAATTTTGATTATTAACTCTTTGCCCCTTAAAAGGCTCCTAGAAGCTCTTTTCTGAGCCCAGTGGTTTCTTGTCACTAAATGTAAAGAGGAGAAAAAAAATTACTGATATATAAATAATCTTCTCTTGCAAAAAAGCTCATTCCAAGTGTATCACCTGCACAGGATTTTTCTTTTGGCGTTTCCTGTATTTTTGGTGAGATGTCTGTGTTTATGGAAAAAGGCTGGTGTCGGTGGGGCCTTTAGGAGTATGAAGAACTGTTTAGAGATAGCGCTGGGTGTTTTGGCTCTGTAACGGGCTGCGAGGGCAGCCTGGCTGCTTGTTGTGACAAGCTGTGTTTCCTTATCTATAGAGTACACGCAGGAGCAGGTAGATGAAACTCAGTGTGAGATTACAACTTCGGATTGTAATGACAACGCCTGCTGAGATGCGCTCATCTTTACTCGTCGATATCATGTGAAATTCCACAGTAAATATATGTATATTTCATATTATTCCTCTGGATCGCCTGGAGAATCTGCGCAAGGTAAAACCTGGTGTCGTCATGATTTCCATTACACTACCCACTTTGCTCATGGTGTTACAGCTCTGCTATAAAACACAACCTGATCATCTGACCTGTAAGTGTAATAGAAACAAACAAATCACTCAACATTATAGCGCATGCATTATATTTTACCCATAATTAGTGTAAACAGAGAGCCTCCCTTACACACATGTTTTGTACTCCATAATGCAGAATATAGCACTGAATAGATTGTAGTTATTCTGACATTATAGTATAGGGATGAAAATGTGACAGAAAATCTGAATTAATAAGAAAAAATGTTGTTTTTTTAAGAAGAATTAAGTTTACAGTATTTATTCTTTTTAATTACTTTGATCTTTTGGGCTTCACTGATGGAAAAAGACACCTATTATGGGGTGTTAGGAATACATTACATATTAAAGTGCGATAAAGGGCAGTAAAGGGCAACAAACATTTGGCAAATACCATCAAACTTCATTTTTATCTCCGCTACACATCTGTGATGTATGGTGGTTTCCACATTCGGCGTGATGACACACGCAGACCGACTGACTCACGTCAGCTAACTCGAGGAAGATCAATTTTGAAGAAATATGTGGATTTGCCAGCCATGGTGAAATCGCGAAAGGCTTCATGTGGCATTTAAAACTCGCCCAGTAATCTTTTCAAACTTGTGCGAGTTGACGGTTGCGGATAGTAGAAGCAGAGAGGCCTGTGAGGAGGCTGATAAAACAGTGTGAAGACAAAATCCAGCACCAACATCATTATGGGCAGCTTTTCATCTCACTCTGTGTTTTTGTGTGCGCTTGCTCTTAGATCACCAACATGGAGGATGATCCTAACTGGTACACGGCCGAACTCCACAACCGAAAAGGGTTCGTGCCAAAAAACTACATCAACCTGCGTCCACACGCGTAAGTATGCGCACACTCACGCACACATGTGCATCTTTAGCTCATCTGTATAAAGCGTTTCACACATCTACCTACCACCGGTCCATTTAAACATCTCATCAGCGAGGATGTGAGCAGTTTGCTGCCCCGGGCATTTTCTGCTCTGCTTTGGACATCTGCACTCTGGCATAAGGCGGTCTACCCAAAGGGACACACTCATTCGCTAACTTATGTAATCACACATGATACAGCCCTGTGTGTGTGTGTGTGTGTGTTTACAGTGAAGCTGCTGGTACACCCTGTATCTCCATCAGATGGTCATGCACCAGCTGGTTTGCTGTGACAAACTCTAAACTGACAACACAGACGTTATAGCAGCTCTGGCTCATTAATGAACCCTGATGTACAGCCCAGTTGGAATTGCGTAGTTAAGTCTGTGGACACCCCTGGGAGTGTAGGATACGTGTGTGTATATATGTGTGTGTCTTTTTTTCCTCCAAATTTCTTTGCGTGGCTTTGATTATTTTTTTTTTAAATCCCTGAAATCTGACTGCATGAAGTTATCCACGAGGGTCCTAGTTTCTCCACCATATTGGATAGATGCTCACTCTTCATGAGTCATCAAACTGACTGTGCTCACAGCCTCCAAGCAAAGCGCACTACTAAGCAAGTGCAAAAAAAAGAAAGAGAAAAGAAATGAATAATGACACCTTTACTTCCGCTCCACAGCTGACAACTGAATTGCTGGATTTGTGGGATTTGTTTCATGTGCAAACTTAGCAGCGTGTGGGAAATTCACTTCTTTCATTCTCTCTCTCAGCTCTTTGATCCGTGCTTTTGTGAGCTGCTCTCTTCTCAGTTTCTTTCAGAGTTAGCAGATATCCACAAACTTCTTTTCTTAAATTTGAGTGTGTGTGCAAACGTCTGGAGGAGATGCTCAGATCAGGAGAGTTCACCTGCATAAAGCGGTAACACCGGTGACCCCTTTCTTTCTTTGTTTGCTCACTTGCTTTCTTTTGTCTGTTTTTGTTTTTGCTTGACTGGCCTGCAGATGGTTCGCCGGTCGCATATCTCGCGGCGTGGCAGAAAGTCGACTCAGAAACAGAGAGTGCGGCGCCTTCCTGGTCAGAGAGAGCGAGAGTGCTCCTGGCGAGTTTTCCATGTCTGTCAGGTAGGAGAAAATTACTAAAGATTTGCACTATATTCTGCACAGTTGCTTTTTTTGTCGTGCTCCTCGCAGTGGGATTTCATACACCTCTCTGATCTCATATGTATTTCTTCATATTACCCTGCGTAACTTCTCATTACTGCAGCTGCAGGGTTGCTCCACAGCCATCACTGAAGTTTCATTGCATCTCATCTAATGCCACAGAATTGAATTAGCAGACCTATAAGCACACACCTCTGAAAACGCTACATTATTTCCCTGTATCTCTTCATTAATGTATTTTGGATGCGCGCGGGCGAGCGTGCGCGTGCTCGATATATTTGTCATGGTGGCTGGGGATTAGAGAAGCAGGCAGAGAAGGAGGGTTAGAGGATAAGGTATGGGGTGGAGGCTAAGAGGGGTGAGGGGGGGATCTGCGGGCCCTCTGGCCTGATGTGAGTTAATCCTGTCTAGCACACCACGGCATCTGGCGCTGCTGATGGGGCTGATGGGTTGTCTTGTCAGTGCGTGGCGGTGAAGGGTGCAGCTGAGACTTGGTGTTGTGCCTTGAGGGGCTGTGTGGATATTGGAGTGTGGGAGTTCTGGGGTCTGAGTTTTGGTGCTGATAAAGGCCAGACCTGGAATGGAGGTTTGGCCCTTCACTGTGCTCCTACTTAACTCAAGACAGGGGTTAAGAATTAGATCTGGGGATTGTTTTGTGTTTGGCTGTTAAATCGCCTGGGCACAATGTCACTCTCAGTGGATTTGTCTTAGGATAGTCCTTTGGAAGGGAAAGGAAAAAATTAGGTTGCCTGTGTTTAAAAAAAAGCTAAAATACAAAATTAGACACAAGGGATGGAAGAGAAGCGATACGCTGCGTGTAAAATAGATTTGCCAAGGGGGGACAGAGCGGAATCTGATGCTTCTTGTTTTTTTGTTTTTTTTGGCTGTTTATTGATGTCTTTCTGACTGTTGTTGCTGGATGGTGTACCAGCTTGAAAAGTGGGTCAGGTGTTTGTGTGAGTTTGCCAGTGTGCGTGTGTGGTTCTTGTGTGCCGACACCGCTCCTGTCAGAGGAGACAGGACATCAGTAACTGCAGAGACTTCAGTCTCAGTTTAGCTCGGTCCAGCTTTGACGTCAGTCTGTGAAAAATCCGATCCACTTTCACAGCCATGAATGAATCCTAGAAGAGACGTTGTGGCTCTTTTTGTCATAAAAAAAATTCTGGTGGAGACAGAAATCCTCCAAGTGTGATGTACGATAAAATTGGCTAATTAGCAACTTTGTTTTAGGAAGGCAGGGATGGCAGATCTAAATCTAACTTTAAAACCACTTTAGTCCATTATGAAAATAGTTAAAGTCATGTGTAAAGATGTGAATATAAATATTTCCACTGTGTTGATCTCTTTGAAATATTGGTCTTGTGGTAAGTAATTCTAACATAAATATATGTGGGTGACCTACTAAAGGAAAAACCAACATAAAGTGGTTAGTTCTTTATCCTCTAATTTGTTGGTCATCTACATCTGTCCCTGTTGTACTTGATAAATGCAAACAATGTTACTATCTTTGTTCTTGTTTCCGCAAAAAAATTAAGCAACAAAACATGCATTGCTTTGTTATCAAATATTGCAGTCATTAGATTTTATATCGCAAACAACAATGTACAATATCTAAAAATTGGATTTATATAGCATCAAATCACAACAATAGTTGCCTCTAAAGCTTTATATTATAAGGTAAACACCTCACAATAATAGAGAGAAAAACCCAACAATCAAATGGCCCCCTATGAACAAGCACTTGGAGACAGTGGGGAGGAAAAACTCCTTTTTAAAATGAAGAAAAGTCTATATTTAAAAGTACAGAGGTTGACTGTCTCCCAACTCCAAACTAGTAGCTGGCACCACAGAAAAGTGGCCTGAAAGCTGAAGGCTAATGTCTCCCCACTTTTAAATATCCTAGGAACCACAAGAAAGCCTCTGATAGTGCCTTATTGGGGTATTATGGTACTATGAGGTCTTTAAGTTAAGATGGGGCCTGAATATTCAAGGCCTTGTATGTGAGGAGGATTTTTAAATTGATCAAAAATCCTGACATTTTCATTAAGCAAATATACTGTGCCAATGACCAACAGATCTGAGTCAGAAGTGAGCCACAGTTATACCCATGTCAACCTACAGTAAACCAAACACATAAACCAAAACTGTCAGAGTTAATCTGAACTGTCGGGGGAAAAAAAGTCTAATCTCAATCTTAAAATATAGTAAATATAGTAAGGATTCTGACATGAAGGGCTTCCATAAAAGCAAGATGTAAGCAAATATAAAAAAAAACAACATTAAAAGAATGTGCTGGTAGTCTGGTACAACTAGAGAACTAAAATGGTGCTTAATATAAGATGCCAAGTGAATGAAACTGTGCACAAAAGTAAAATAGCCACAAATGTGGAACACAAACATCTGCAGAGGGGAATAAAGAACTGACGTGATCTCAGCGTCCTGTTCGCTATCGTTCTTCACCATAAAATCAGTCTTAAAAGCGTTTTTGTGGCCTAAAATAAGTAATTTAATGACTCCAGCCATAATGCAAGGGACCTTTTTTAAAACAGTAATTGCTTCAAAATTTCTTTGAACAGGCAAAATATGTGGCAGAAGACTGTAGTTTCAGACTACGCCAGCAAAACTATCCCGGTGGGTTATTTAGTAGCTTATTTTTGGAATATAAAGTGATGCCAAGATAGACTTTAGACACAGAGAGACAGAGAGAAATCTATTTTGCCATGCCGGGTGGTTTCACAGTTCTCTTTGACTCAGCAGCAGATGCACCCAAAGGATATATTTGGTCTTCTCCTGCAGCGCTACAGTGGCACAACTTAAATCTAATACTTTCAGCAATACCTAATCCAGTTCTATAGTTTACTTTTTAGATGCTTGCAGGGAGACAACATCACTTTTCTCACAGTCTGGTGGAAAATCTCACTTCCTTTTTCAGACTTTTCAACAGCTGCTATAACTGCAAGTCCTTGCGGCTGACTCCCAAACTCCCTCAAACTAAAAAAAAGTGTGCGCAGTCACCAAAAGACACTTCAGGAAATTAGTAATTGAAGCAAAAATTTGATCGAGTGCCTTAGCAAAAGTAGCTACACCTGTCTTGAAGGTGCAGTTCACTTGAAATTTATTAGACAGGCAGGAGTAGCATTGTGGTTGTGGTTATCAAGGTTTTGTTTAACATGTTTCCCACATCCAAAGAGTCAACATCACTTCCTTCCTTTTTCTTTTGAAAAGACCTAAATCTGTTCCATTAGATATTTTCTTCCTGCTTGACCCCGTGTTTGTTTAGACTATAGTCTGGTGTTGCACGCAGACGCACACGTGCACAAAGACACGTACACAGTCGGTTTTCCTATTGCATCTGTCCCGTATCACCTGGAGGTCATACAAACACCATTTCTTTGATGTAACAGTCTGATAGAAGCTCACCAACAACTTGTCTAGCCTTATGTCTTCTTGACCAGTGAGTCCACATTCTCAGCCTCAGAACGCCCACCCACCCCACCCAGAAGATGACTCATAGTCTCAAGATAATGATTTGTGCTCTAAACAGTAAGGACTGAGGTCTATTGCATGTCTTGCCAAGAGCGATCACCACCCTGAAAAAGGGTTGGCTATCTGATTTCACTCTTTGATTTGTGGGCTCGGATGTTTTTGAAGCCTTGAGTTTAGCATTTTATGTCCTTGTTTTAAGGACATCGAAAAACTAGAAAATTTGAGTCAGTAAGTTGAAAGTTTCAGTTAGTTCTGGTATTCAGAAAGGGCCCTGAAGGACCTCATTTCCACTTAAATGCCTTCTAGCGAATGATAATGATAATTCATAAAAGGTGTTCATGTGGAATTGTTGGACAGCTGATGTCTTCTGCAATCTACCTCCAGGTGACAAGGTAATGGCATAACTTCACAGAGCCCCTGATTGTCAGATCCAGCTTGACAATTTAGGTATTTGCTCAAAATTTTGACTTATTAACTCGAAGCTTGAATTATGAATTATACAGTTTTCAGCTAACTTTGCTAGTTTCTCTAGCTTGACTCATCAAAGAGTACATAGAAACAGATGCCTGTGAATTAGTACCAACATGTAAATAATATAGTAAAATTCAGGTTTACTTAAAAACAAAATCTGCTTCAAGAAAGTTTAAAAAGCATAGGTTAGATTAAAATGCAGTTCTTCTGTAAAGTTGCTCATTTTTAACATAGGCATCTATAGTGATTAACTTGCCTTCCATGGAGACTGTAAATACCATAACGGTAGATGAAAATTATATAGACAGGGCCACTAGGCAATTTGCCCACTGCGCTACCATTTCAGTGTGGATGCTGTTGTTTTTGACACGGCCTCACGTATCACTGACTCACACTACACTGACTGATGGCTCATACAGTAATCGCTGATTCTGGCTGTTCATTCGGCTTCCTAGTCATCATTTATCATCAGCTTCTTTTCAGGGACATTTCTACAAAGGGAAACCATTAAAGGGAACTAACCCTGTGGGTGATGCTTATTTTACAGCTACATAATCCGCTCAGAGATTTAAGTAACGCAGAGTGGGTTCAGTGTCCTGTGAATGTCATCATTTGGGGGACAATTTCACACTTCGGGAACATCTGGAAAAAAAACGTGCTTTAGTTTATTTGATACAATAAAAAAGAGTGTGTCAAAAAACGCCTGACAAAATGAAGAAGTGACTCAGTAAAGTTATGTAACATGACTCTAAAATATTAATTAGGCCATCATGTTATTTGGTATACCTGCTACTACTTGGACAAACTCCTTTTGCCTTCAGAAATATCTTCATGGTGTCGACTCAACAAGGTGCTGAAAGCATTCCTGAGAGATTTTGGTCCATATTGAGGTGACGGGGTCACACATATCCTTCAGATTTCTCGACTGCACTTCCATGATGTGAATATCCTGTGCTCTGTTGGATTGAGATCTGTTGACTGTGTAGGCCATTTGAATGCCACGA